GTGTGTGTGTGTATATATGTTTGTGTGTGTGTGCGTTTGTGTGTGTGTTTGTGTATATGTGTGTGTTTGTGCTTGTGTGTGTTTTGCATGCATGTGAGTATACCATGGTGTATACCCCTATTCACACATTTGAATATCAGAGCAAGACACCAGTGTCTTCCTCTGTAGATTTCTGCTTTACTGACTTGAGATGGGGTCTCTCGCAGATCCTGAAGTCGCTTTCACATTACCGCAAGGCTGACCAGCCAGGAAGCTCTGCTGATTTACCTGTGGCTGTCCTGAAGTGCTGGGGTTACGAGTTTGCATAGACACACCCAGCTTTTTATGTGGGTACTATAGAAGTGAATTCAGGTCCTTAGATCCTCATGCTCACAGAGTAAGCTCCCTTTGCCACTGAGCTTGAAGTTTCTTATTGGTGAGCTTGTTTACCTTACAAGACTATCTTCAAGACAGAGAGTTATCTGCCCAAAGCACCATGTGAAGTCTGGCTACACAGACAACTCCCATGATCCTCCAGCTCCTTGTCACTTCCCTTCCCACACCAACATCACCTTGGATAAAACTGGGAGAATATCAGAGCAGAGGTACTGACATTCCTCCCACCCTGGGAGAGAAGCCTAATTAGTTATCCCCTTTCAAACCATTTCTTCAGCCTGTAATAAGCAGGAAAGGACGCCCGTCAAGAGGCAAAGATTGGGTGGTGATTGGGATGGGACCTGGGGACTGGTGCTAGGAAGCTGCATCTGTGCACGAGACACATCACACACGGCCTTCCAGTTGGTACTCACAGCACCTGAACCAGACAGCAAAGTAGCAGGACAGTCTCCAGACTTGCTGAAAAGCCAAGGTCATAAGGAAGATTCTCACCATCCACTTTCTAAGTCCAGTCAGGACTGAGTGTCTCTTAGGGTAAAAGGTCAAAACAATAGCCCCCTTAATGTGTGGCAGGTTCCGTTCAACAAAAACTCAAAATAATGGGGTAGGGCACAGAGAGGGCAAACCAACCAAACAAACCTCCTATTAGCACAGTGTTTGCCAAAGGACAGCCTGCAGTCAGCTCACCATGTATGGTGAGGGCATCTGTAAAGCTAACAGATTCCTAGAACACATTGCTTTACTAAAGGAAAAATGCATAGCTCTGGAGCCTGGGGACACACCTTTTAAAGCAAGCTCTGTGGGTCACCCTTGAGCAGACCTCAATTCCAGAAGCCTGTTGTTTACCACCAGTGGGTGCTGTGAAGAAAGCCCCAGGGCAGACTCCTGGGTCCTGGCCAGGCTGGGCTGAAAATGGTACTTTAAGGGCGGGCTGATGATGCTGACTCCTTTCCATGTTCATTATAAAACGTGTATTTTAAAAAATCCATTACTGAAAAACATTTTAACAAAAGGCATTCCTTCATAGGTTGGGGGAATAGCTTAATGATAGATTGCTTGCCTAGTCTAGTATCTTTGAGTCTCTGAGTTTGATCTCCAGTACCACAAACAGATAAGCAACAACAACAAAAAAATCTTTATTAAAATAGTTTTCTGTATGCTGGAGAGATGCCTCAGTGGCTCAGAGCACTGGTTGCTCTTCTAGAGGAGCCAGGTTCAATTCCCAGAGCCCACCCACACAGAGCTCATAACTATCTGTAACTCCAGTTCCAGAGGATCCAACAGCCTCACACAGACATACATAAAGGCAAACGAACAACAGAGCCCATGAAATTAAAATAATACTACTAATAATAGAAACCTTCCTTATTTTTTTATTGTATACTGAATGCCACCTCCATCTCTGGGATGTATGTGGACTTTTCTCTAGTCACCATTTTGCCTTTACAATCTGTAACACGATACGATGCTTCAAGTTCATTTACCTTTTCGATGCATTTCTGAAAGTTATCTTGAAGGAGTTCTCACCAATAAAGTTAATAAGTATGTGCTGATTTTATCTGCGTATAATGGCTGTTTGATCAGATGCTTGTTTGTTGTATTGGTCTGGTGGTACTGGGAATCAAGCCAAAAAAAGATCACTTTCCCACTGACCTCTGCCCCTCTCCCTTCATATAGTTTTAATATTGATTTGTATCAGTTTTTTTTTAAAAAATGATTTACTTATTTATGTACTTTATGTATATGAACGCTCTGTCTGCATGCATACCTGCATGCCAGAAGAGGGCATCAGCTCCCATTAAAGATAGTTATGAGCCACTGTGTGGGTGTGGGGTATCAAACCTGGGTTCTCTTGAAGAACATCCCGTACCCTTAATTGCTGAGCCATCTCTCCAGCCCTGATCTCTATCAGTTTTAAAAACTATTTTTGTTAGTTCTTTGAGAAATCCATTCAGTGTTGTTTAATTGTATTCAACCTCCTTCCCCAAAAGCTAGTGTGGAGTTGCAGCTAAGCTAGAAGCAGAATGAAGGAAGAGAGAGGCATTGAACCCCATCAGCTATCTGCCAACTGGAGAGTGGACCAAGAGATGGGAAGTGCTCTCTATGAAGGAGGCACAGGAAATGGGCTCTTCCTCAGATCGTAACAGGGAAGAACTGAGGTCCAAGGTGAGGCTGGCAAAGGCTGAGCTGGGACTCTCTAGAGCGGGTCTGGGGTTGCCTGAGCAGTATGTTCTAACCACTCCTCCAACGCTCTGCTCTTCACCCGGGTATTCCTTAGCCAGTTGTATTTTTCCTCAGAGAGCTTAGCAGGCTGGCATAGTGCTACATATGTATTTTTTGCCTGTCATCTGTCCCCTGCTGGAGCATATGCTGCACAAAAGCAGATCTTTCTCATCTGAAACCTGCACCTAGAAGAGAGACGGCAATAGGAGACACTCAACAGGTATTAACTTGAAAGAGTGAATGAACGCTCTTTACTTCAGATCCCCCAAGAAGATTGGAGCTCAGGGAAGTATCCCTGACAATTTTCCTAGAGGCTGGCAGCCTACTCATTCAGGGATGATGAGCCACGGGGCATGATTTGAGTTGAGAGTCCCAAAGTGCAGCTTCCGTTCTCTTTCTGTTTTGTTTTTGTTTTTTCCTACATAGCTTACTCTCACCAGAATGTGAGCTCTCTTGGTGTAAGGAAGGGCTATGCCTGCTCTCCCCAGGCCCAACATGATGTCTGACACACAGCAGATGCTCCCTAAAAGACCTGTTGGGTAAATGAAGGAACCAGCCATGATTTTAGCTACCCACCTCGCCCCTCTCTGAGCAGATGTGGGAAGTGCCCTGATCCCATGTAGTTGTCATCCACAGCTGTTCAGTATTCTGCACCTTGTCCTGGGGGGGGGGGCAATCTACCTTTTCCTGGGACTCCTTTCCCTCTGTTCTCTTCAAAAAGTGACTCTCCAAAAATGTAACTGATCACCTAGAAAGACCTCTGCGGAGCCTATGCAAAGGTCAAGGGTCCCCTCTCGGAGGCAGGGACAGTGTGGCAAGAGGCAGGTATGAGAGGCTTCTATGCTGTAAAGTTCCATGAGGGTCACCTTGGATACATGTTGGCCACATCCATTCCTGGGTCCTGTCCTGGGCCTCCCTTCCCAGACTCCCATGCAGCAGAATCTAACAATTGTTTAACAATTACCAAAGTGAGTTTTATACATAATTTACCACAACAGTTAAGGACTTGGGCTTTAGACGGGACATATATGGATCCTAAACCAGTTCTGCCATGGCCTAGTTGTCCAGGGACAAATCAATCATAAACCTCACAGGTGATGGCATTAATAAAAAGTACCCATTTGGGGGCTAGAGAAGAGGGACAAATCAGAAAAATGTTTCCCCTACAGACACGAGAACCTGAGTTCGGATGCCCAGTACCATAAAGAGCTGGGCACAGTGGTGTGTGGCTGTAATCCCAGCACAGGACAGGTGGGAAAGAGAGGGTCCCTAGGTCTTGCTGGCCAACCAGTCTAGCTGAATTCGTGAGCTCTGGTTCAAAAAGAGTCCATACTCCACACCAACTTGTGGCTTCCGCATACGTCCACACACATGTGTATAAATGTCAGCACACATATGCACATATTCGTGATCACATACACCTCACACAAAGTACCTATTATTTTTTTTAGGACAGAAGGTAAATGAAAGTATCTACTTTGTAAGCTTACGCAAGCAAACACATGCTAAACTTACCGTGACATCAGGCTTGTGGTAAGAGTTCAATCTATAAGAGTAGCCACCTTGATGGTGGTGATGGTGAAGATAATTGGTTCTTCCTAATTTGCTGGAAGAGTGGCTATTCAAGCTCTACAGTGGGATGTTCCCTCATTCAACTACTGTGCCAGTCAGGAGATCTTTAATATGCCTGCTTCTTACTGTAATTGGTGTCTGGCTAGCTCTTTCCGGCCCTTCCTGCATTAGAGAGGCCTTTAAATAAAGGAAGTTTATTATTCGGGCATAGCAAGGATAAAGACTTCTAGAGAGACACTTAGAGTGCTTGTCAGAGTCTGTTTCCTCTGATAGAGGATCAGAGAAAAGGAAGCAAGAGGGTTTAATGGAGAAGGAAGAACCATACAGAGAACCAACATGCTCTGAAGGGCGTAGCATCCCTATGGTGGGTGATGGAAACAGCAGCAGCAGACAGGAGAGCATGGGGGGGATGGGCTGGAGAAGAGCAGGAGAAGGGGTAGTGTAGTGTAACAGGAAGAGGAGCTAGCCTAGCCCACATGGGATCCACCCTTTGCCTTAGCAATGGTGCTCCTAGAGTCTAGCAGGGCTTCCAGGGTTGGGGAAAATGCCCTAACCCTTCCCAAATCATTCCCAGAAAAAAGAACACTCTGATAATGGAGAGGCCTTGCTTTTTAAATGACACTGCCTTGTCTCCTCTCTCTATAAGGCTTGCCTCCTTTCTGACATATTGCTGGCAGAGCCCACATGGGCTGTTCTGGGACCAAAAAGGACAAGGCAGCTTAAATCCAGGAACCTAGGTCAGACTGGATGCAGCCTGCTATTTGGCGGGACACTTGACAGCTGGAGGCCATCGGAACTAGGGACAAGAGACAAGCCATAGGGAGGCTTACCTGCCGAAAACCATTCCTGGTGAACTGTAAAATTTTCAAGGCATAGTTGGACCTCTGGCCTTTGCTGTTGAATTCAATGTGGCCGGTAAGACCTTCCAATTCTACCTGTCCAAGAGAGAGTGAGTTACAGCACCAAATAGGCCCCACCCAATCTGGTTTCAAGCAAGGATCCTCTTACATGCTACTTCACAGTGTTCGGAAACCCCTCTTCTGTCCACTCTAAAGCCACAGAATCTGAGTGAAGGAAGAGGGGGCCCACACCCGGTAACCCCAAAGCAACTGTGTAAGGCGACAGGAGCCACCCCTCAGATTCAGCTCTCCTTGTTCCATAGGCACGTGGGGACAGTTAGCAGCTTTTTTTCCCTTTTGAGAATCTGCTGACCCTGGGCCTGCAGGAAGTCTGGAAACTCCCGACTCATTGCAAAAATCTAAGACCCTCCACATCTTCCCTCTCTAATGAGAGATGTCTTCCTTGTAGGAGAAAGACACATCTGGAGAGAGAACTCAGGGAAAGCCAAGGATCAAGCCAAAAGTCTGCAGGCTGAGTCTCCTGAGGGATCAGGTTCCAGTGTCATGGTCCTCTGCTAGCTGTGCTGAGTTGTGCAGGGGATACCACTAGACAGGAGACAAGATGCAAGCCTAGAATTCAGGACTCCTAGCTTAAGATCCAAGAATTATTGTCTTGGGAATAAGCTGGCCATGGAGATTTGCCAAGAGCTTTAAGAATTAGAAACAAATGGAGCTCATGGCCCACCCATCTCAGGTGATGTTTAAGCCAGGGCTGTAAACCACCAGGAAAACCCTGTATCACCCATCCCACCCCTGAAGCTGGGTCTGACCAAGCCTTCAGTTGCTCCTCACCATGCGCAGGTAGTTCATAAGGCTGGTGCCATGCTGCCAGATCTGGGCTGAGCCACAGGACAGGGGCTTCACACCAATTTCCTGGCTCCGGTTCAGTTCCTGCACTGCTGTTACCACAGCATAGACTGCATCAAACAACAGGGCTGAGGACAGCTGGGAGAAGCAGGAAAAGCGAGTGGTAGCGGGGAGAGAAAGGAAGAGGAAGAGGGGAGAAAAGAGGACAAAGAGGGGAAAGAGAAAAAGTTCTCAAATAAGGGGACACATTCACTGTCCTCTACCCACCCCTTCCTCTGGGTTCACCCACTTCTGGCCTGGTCCAAGTCTGCATTCAAAAGCTCTGCAACCTTCATGCACTGACAAAGGCTGCTGTGGCTTGAAGCATCAAAATATACCTTTGGACTCCAAATTCTCATTCTCTCTCTCAGCAACATCCACTGCTGCCAGGAATAAATCCACAGAATGGTAGGTAAGATTGCTAAACTCAGGGGGAGGGAAGGAACTTGGCCACTCTTCTCAAACGTGCCACCTCTACCATGCTCAGGCATAGGTCACTTGCTCCCAGAAGTTACCCATGAAACTATTCCTTCCTACATATCCCTAGGACTGCAATGTGGCTGTACTGTTCCATGTGTGGTACATGTATGAAATGCACAGTAAGTTGAAAGTCTACAGTTTAGTAGAATTCCATTCCTATGACAGATGACAGCTGGGTACAAAGGACATTAATCAGGGTAACAGGATGTGAGATGATCTGAAGCTGCAAAGGTCTGTGTGGGTCTAAATAGAGAGCAACAAAGAAAGTGTCCCATGGAGGAAGACACATTGGAACTGACAGCAGAAGGATCTGAGTATCATGGTAGTGGACGCAGGATGGGGAGAAGACAGGCAGTTCAGAGGATGAGTCCACAGGAGCAAAGGCGAGGAGGTGGAAATGAGAGGCACACATGGAAGGTGGAGGGCAGGATGACTCAGCGTATAGGCATGGACCATGCCCTGGTGCTCTTCAAGTATGTAGGAGGAGGAGGAAGAGGAGGAGGAGGAGGAGGAGGGGGAGGAGGAGGAGGAGGAGGAGAGGAAGAAGGTGGTCCTAGGAAGAGATTTTGCAGTTTGACAACCTGTCAGATCATCTTGAAGGAGAGGCTGGAGCCTGGACAATAAAGATGGGTGAAACCACACCCTGACCAGGTCTGCATAGTTACGCAGACCTTTGGTTACATAAACCTAAACCTCATGTCAGGACCCCTGGGTGGACTTGCAGGCAGGTTACTGGCCTTCTGTGTTCCTCTTCCCAGTGTGGTCACATCAAGAACATCTTCCTCTTCTTTTTCACTTTGATTTGTCTGCTTAACTGGTCTGTTGAGAATAGGTGGTAGGACCTAGCCCATTAGAGCTGCCAGGGCCAAGGCTCTGACCCTCACAACTCTAGAAACAAAGAACGGAGGTCACCGTAGCCGTGCCTATGTTTTTATCTTTCCTATTAAGCAGCTTCCTAAAGGCAAGAGACATGCAGGGCCGTCAAGCCCATGTGTCACTGGTCCCTGGCATGAGGCCTGGCACGTGGCTAGCTCCAAGGACCATCTCTTTTTAATTTTAAAAAAATGTAATTTTGTGGATGGGTGTGGAGAGCGCATATGTGTCTGTGTGCCCTGTGTGTGCAGTCTCCAAGGAGGCCAGAAGAGGTTTTCAGATCCCCTGGAACTGGAATTACAGATAGTTGTGAGCCACCGTGTGGGTATTGGGAATCAAATTTTAGTCCTCTCAAAGAGCAACCAGTGCTTTTAACCTCTAGGCCAACTCTCCAGCCCCCAAGAGACAGCTTGATTTGAATTAAGTCTTGGCAGACATCTGCCTGGTGAGTAAAGTCAATGATTGCAGCCTTTGTGGTGGGGAAGGCCAGGGGACAGGGTGGATGGAGGGTATAAAAACACAGCTGACTTGTCCCTGGGGAATGTACCATCCAGGAGGAGCTGTAACTGTATAGAACATGTACAAGGAAAAAAAATGTACTGTTCACTACCGTGTCTATGTGCTCAGCACTGTCCACAGGGCTGGGAGAGGCCCAGAAAGGCAGGGAAAATTCCGTGGAGGAACGATACTGAGGTTCCAAGGGGCCAGTTTCTCCATGGTAGCATGTTGTCCAGCCCCAACAATCAGTTCTTTCTCTGCCCAACCCCCTTGCTCATCAGAAGAAACCTTTGAGAGGAACTGGAAGGCAATCCTTGTATTATAGAGTTCTTATCCATCACTTCTGTCTAGCCAGGCTCCAGGACACTGGCCCCTCTAAGGTCAGAGGGAGGGAGGCCACAGCCCTCCAGTCAGAGGTCACACAGCATGGGATAGCAAGGAGTAGAGAGAAAAACTTGGGAGCATAGCTCCACTCCAGCCCCTCCTTTGGATGCTGAGTGACCTAGGACACCTTGCTGAACCTCAGGCAGAGAAAGTTTTCATTCATAAAAGAGGCAGCATCTAGCATCATGAGTCTGTAAAGGTCATCAACTATAGGAGTGAGCATTCCTCCAGGTGGGGTTATACAAACTCTCATCCAAGGAGTTGGAAGTGTTCAGGGGGCAGGTGTAGGGGAGCAGGAGGAAGAGGATGCTACGAGGCCAGAAAGCATACTGGACAGGTGCTCACATTTCCTATATGGTTACATGAGGGGCTGTTGCCCCCTAATGGGTACTGACTGTGCTGACTTTGGAGAGTTTTTCCAAATACCATCAGCAGCTCACAATCAAAGTTCGCCTGTATTGCCACTTAGCCACTGTATCCCCTCCTTCTTCCCCTCACTCTCTCCCTCCTGTTCTCTCTCCTTCTCTCCCCCCTCTCCCTTCCTTTCATGGCTGCTTCTTTCTACTTTTATCCAGGCCCTGTCACTTATCAGGCTCTATATATGCTAGCATATCCCTAGTCTATGTAGATGCACTCAGAAAAGCCCTGCTGCCTCCTCCATCAAGTTTCCAGTCTTCTCAAATCCATCTGACTTCGGCGTGCCTTGGCCTTGGATCCAACTATGACCTGAAGTCTAAGCAGATAAGGGAATCCAAATCCCAATGCCCAGTTCCAATAAACAAACAAGTGGAAAGTGTGCAGCCCTGCTGAACTGGCTGAGCAACCTCACTGTTCTAAGTCCCCTCCACCCCAACCACTGCTTCTTTCTCTCTGCCTACCTTCCTTGTCCTTGTCACCTGGCTCCTTCTTCAAGGGAATCCAGGCTCATCTGCATAGCTCCTGCTGCTCCCCCACAAGCCTACAGCTGTCCTTTTCCTCATACCTCACCTTCCCCTAGCACCTGTGGCTCCCTTACTAATGGCTGCTCATGTTTCCTTGCTGAAAGAATGTATGAAAACGATGCTGTAGATGCCCTGTTGCGCTCAGAACAGCATCTTCCTGAGAGCAGACCTTTGCTAGGAAGTTATCGTTCTCTGCTTCTAGATTTTTCAGTTTGGCTATTTGTGTGGCCCACCTTCTCCCTTGCTTTATAGCTCATCTCCCTATTATGGAGTCCTCTAAATCACAGGGCTTCAGCCCCACGGGGCCCTATCAGTTAGCATTAGTCTAACGCTTGTGTCCGGTGAAGAAATGAGACTCATGGAGTTCTTCCCCATGGACACACAACAGGGAAATGCAGGATCAGGGCTAGTCTCTGTTTCCCTTTGTCTCATTGTGTTTGTCCTTCAGGATTTACTATTTCTTTTAAAGATTTGTTTTATTTTTAATTACGTGTGTTTGGAGGGAAGCATATGTGTTTGTGAGTGCAAGCATTCACAGAGACCCTAAAAAAACAAAACATGGGTCCCCTTAGAGCTCGAGTTACAGGTGGTTGTGAGCCTCCATATGGGTGCTAGAAACTGAACTCATGTCATCTGCAAGAGCATCAAGGACCCTTAACTGCTAAGACTTCTCCCCGGTCTCTCCAGGTTTACTGTTGTGTCTAACCTTTCTAAATAACCTGGGACAACATTTTAGGACACAGGCACTTTCTCAATAACAGACGGGAAGGCAGAGCATTCAGGTCAGGTCTGAAGTCAGGGAAACTGAAGACTAGAGGAAGGGAGGACTAGGGTCAACTCCCTCTGATGCTTGGGGTCTGGAGCGCCACCCAGTTCACATTCTGGCTTCATTGGTTGGCTATCCTGTGCAGTGAAGATGGGAACCATTAGCCAGTGTTGCTTGCTTAGACCCCATTTTCCTGCACCCTCTATTTTGTTTAGGTGTTCTCCCTCCTCTCATATGGTCATCAACTTCTGGCCCAGCTATGTCTGGGTCAAGTGAGTCACCCATCTTCTACCAATATGTAACACAAAGTTTACCAGATCATGAGCCTGCGTGGAGGGCTGGAGTTGGGGGTGTGCTTCTCAGGGCATGTCTGTCACCTAGAAGATACAGCCTTCTTCTCTCTCTAAATAGTACTGTTTCTGGATGGAATGCCTGGACCCACTGCGGTCAGTTGGCTCTAGGCTGAGCATGGCCTTGACACTAAAGGTGACTGAATAGAGAGTGAAAGACTCTGGGGCCCTCAATTACCTTTCTCTCAAGTCTTGCTCTTGCTCTGTGACACCACATTGCACTTTCACTGGGTTCCTGCACCATGATTAGCATAGAGAACCCAGGCATCTCCCGCCTCTCAAAGTGGTTTTGATCAAGATTCCAAGAGAGGCCTGTAACCCATCCCCTCTTGAGGTCCCTTCCTCATCTGGAGGCTGTGAATCAGTTCTTGAGGGACAATGCATGATTTCAGAGGAAACTGGTCACACCATCAGCTCCTTTGATGCTGCTAGTCCCACTCCAGCTGGGATAAGTTTTTCTTGGGTGATGCTCTCTCTCTCTCTCTCTCTCTCTCTCTCTCTCTCTCTCCTTTCTCCTCTCTCTCTCTCCCTCTCTCCCTGCCTCCCTCTCTACCCTACTCCCTTTCCTCTCTCTCTGTTTTATACATGAGTATATCTTCTCTTTGTGTATTACACAAGTGTATGTTTTCACACGTATGTGTACACGCGAATATACACACATGTGTGAGTGCACGTGAACCTGTGTTCACAAGTGTGCCCCACCCTTCCTTATTTTTTTGAGAAAGGGGCCTCACCAATTGGCTAGACTAGCTAGCTATCTAGCAAGCTCTAGGACTCCTCTTGCCTCTACTCCCCAGTACGGGGGTCACTGGCAGCCAGTGCCAGCCTAGCTTTTACTTGGGTGCTGAGGATTGAAACTCAGGCCTTTTTGCTTGCATGACGAACACTCTGCTCACACACCCACCCCCCTAGCCCCAGCTGGTGTTCTTATTAGTATGTTATCTAAATGCTGGAAGGTCAGCGTGTACCTGTTCCCAACATCCTTTGTCATCTCCAGCTCCAGGGACTTCCATGATCCCTCAGATATTTCTCAGATAAAATTCAAGCTGGGGACACTCAGGCAGGGACAAAGTGGGTGGAATTTTATCAAGGTTCCCATCTCCTCTCTACCTACTTACAGCTGTCAGAGAGTGACATGGGTCAAGTGTCCCCAAGGGCACTGCACTTCCTGGGTCTTCTCTGAAGCTGAGCCTGGAATAATTCATGTTAACTCCCTGTATACTGGAGCGCATTCTTCCCACAAGTCAGTCTCCTTTATCCATTACCAGATGCTCCTCTCCTATAGGCTTCTGGTCATCTACTTAGGACACTCATCTCACCTTCCTCCCTCCTGACAACTTACTTCCTGCCCCTCACTCCTCCAACTAGCCTGTCCCAGTTGCTAACCTCTTTTCTTATCTTTATAAAAGTTCTCTTTTCCAGACCATCATCTCTGCCTGCCCATCAGTGCCCTTGTGGTTCAGCTCTCTATTCCATCTCTTCATTCTCCTAGTTGCCTTCTCCCTCTGCTACTACTGCTGTTCTGGAAAGTATTTGTGCCACAATCAGTGAAAAGTAGTGTGCATCACAAAAAAGGGTTGTCCCTGTCTCTACTTTTGGGTCCACTCAGGAAGGGAAAGAAGACATTTCTGCTATTCCTTCTCCTTCCTTTCCATTTCTTTTTCCTCCTATGATTGATCCCGCCATCTTTCTGATGCATAGCTGTATGGGCACATACATGCCTCTTGATTTTGTCTCTTCTTATACTGTCCCTGTCTCTTCTAAATATTAAATCCCCCAAATGGCTCAACCCTCATTTAAAGTCCTCTCTTTTTCTTGGCACCAATGAGCTGTTTGGCAAGGAACCCTCTATTCTCTTGTTTTTACATTTTCATTTGGTTCTTCATTGTTATTTTCTTTTGATCTGTTTTGCAAATTGTTTCAGGGAATGAAAGACTCTGTATAAATTAAGATGAATCAATTCTGACTCAGGGAGTTGTGGCTGGACTCCTTCCCTCCCTGAAATAAAAATAAGAATATCTTCTAGACACACACCTGTAACTCCCAAAGCAGTACAGACTGGATTCCCAGCATCCTAGATGCCCATTTGTTGATGAACCTCTGTAAGTTTAAACTCTGCCACCACCAAAATAATACAGGGCAGGGACCATTAAGGTCTCATGGACTGGTTCTTACAATCTGGATTTTATTCAATGGAATAAACACTTAATTACAAACATCTGTTTTAGCCTAAATTCTAATTACTTAATCTAGCCATCTGTAATTTTAATGATTTCCCACGATTTTTGTTCCTTGCAGCATGATTAATGGGAATGGCATATGAAACTAGTGGGTGTGTGTGTCCCTTCCCAGCACTCCCTCTGTGATGGCTTTGTCTCAGGCAGGAAGCACATCTGTACATACCGCTGGCAACCTGAAAGCTTTCCGGCCAGGGTAGCATACTGAGCATTCTCCTGGATATCTTTAGCCTAGTCCCTCCTTTGCAACCCTACAAACGACATTCCATACTTGAGGAGCCCCACCTAGGATTGTAGGAAGGTGGGGGAAGCAGGCAGCCACTCATACAAGCTTAAAGAAGAAGAAAGGAGGAGTCAAGATTACCAGTGCTGTATAGGAAAGAGAAAGACAGAAAAGGAGCTAAATGGGAGACTAGAAAGAGAATGGAAGAGAAGACAAAGAAAGAGTGGTCTGAGAAGAGGAAGGGATGAGACATCCTGTGGAGGCAGGAGCCTGTGCAGCTGCACAGGCTACCCAGATCCCTTCCAACATTCCTGGGGTGCATAAGACCCTGAAACTGGCTAGGAAGGTGACACATGGGAATACTTGCTGTAGTGGCTTTCATGTGTCAGGAGGGCCTCTTTATGTCTTACGAGTGAGACAGAACATGCTCCTACTCTACCCAGGGGAACTAGACCCTTCTCCCAATCCAGGTCTTGTACATAATGATGAATGGCAAATCTTTCAACGCTTAATGACAGGGATGCTCTGAGAACTGTGTGCTCCATCTGCTGTATCATTGTGTAAATATCACAAAGTGCACTTACATCAACTAAGATGACCATGCGGTCACCAGGCAAGACATTCAGATGGAATTACTGCTCGCTTTGTTGTCCTTGGTTGACCAAGGACTTGCCTCCCACCTTCAAGAAAGCCTTCTCTGATCTTGGCATCCTCACCCATGCTGTTTTGTCCACATCACTGGACCTCCAAAAGCCATTTTCCCAGATATAGAGTGGCTTACACTCCCCTGCCATGGTGCATCTTAAAGACCAATGACTTTGGACATGCCTCATTGTATGAAGTGTGTGATAGATCACGGAGAGTGTTGGGTCCCAAGGGCACCTAAGAGGACACTTACCGCAGGGCCAGTGAAGGGCACATGGTCACAGTTCTCCTGCCAGGATTGGTTGAGGCTCTGGGAGAACTCTTGGAAGAAAGCATGGGACTGGTTGAAAATGGAAAATCCTAAGATGTTGACTCTATCATCCACAAGGCTGTCCATTCTCTGGAGGGAGAACTCCTGGTAAGATGGGGCAATGAGAAAGAGAGAACACAGTTAGGATGGAGGAAAAGAGGAAAGACCATGATGGCTGTGGGCCACACCAGGACACATGAGGTACTCCACTGGATGCTCAGTATATAGAATTACTGAGAGTGGTTCTTCTAGCATCTACAGTGCTGGGTTCAGGGAGAAAAGAGAATTCAGTAGGTTGATCCCAAAGCAGAATAAATACAAGATGCACTGGGTGAGGAGAGGAACACGGAATATGTGTAGCTGATGGAGGGAAGACCACATCCTCTGCAGGTCATCTCTGGAGCCAAGCTGGAAGGATGTCAGGCATCTTCTGCAGAGGGAATGTGGACAGACAAGGGCTATTCCCTCCAGGAATCATCATGTGATGGGTTTGTGGGGAGAAAGGATGTGGTGCTTCACTGTGCTGCCCACAGCACTCTGAGGAAGGCATAAGCTCTTCCTTGAAGTATGGTTCTACCATCAAAACCACCCCAGAGGTCTTTCTCAAAATAGAACACCACCATGCTACCTGAGTCTGTATGCCTGGAGTTGAGTTGGGGGCAGGGTGGGGGAATCACTAGGCCCCTACATCTCATGAACACCAAAGTTCCAGAAGCAATGAATGAACACACGGCACGTGAAGCCTGGGGAGGTTGGAGGGGTCTGCTGCGGTCAGAGTCCAAGGGCCTGAATGCTAGGGAACATTCCTGACTAGAGAGCTAGAATGTTGTCCTGTAAGGGAGCGGGACTGCTAGAAGAGGAGTGTCAAAGTCAAGTTTGCTTTCTAAAAATGTCAATTCAAAGGTGTGCAGGCAAGGCTGTATCTTCACAATCACAGTTTCATTGATGTCATACATATGCAAGAATTTCTCATGTGCTAGACACTGTTGTAAGCAGAGAGGACATGCATAAGGGATGTCCTTGCTATACATAAGGGCCTTATGGGAGTCGAGGAGACAGACAGCAAGGAGCTCAATGCATTATTATTTCAGACAGCTATGGCTGTGGGAGCAGGGGCTGCTGCAGTCAGAGAACTGGGGCAGCTGAAGCAGTGACATCTAGCAGTTCAAGGGTGTTCATTCAGTCATTCATGCTGTGATGGTTAATGATGGCTGTCAAGTTGACAGAATCTGGAATCACCTACAAAGTAAGTCTCTGGGCACATCTGTAGGGGATTACCTAGATTACATTAGCCTCTGGCTATGCTGGGAAGAACCTTGACTAGGTTAATTGCTGCAGGAAAACACTCACTAAAAGTAGGTGGCTCTGGACTGCATGAAAAGACGAAAGATGGCCGAACACAAGCGCTCATTGCTCTCAGCTTCTTGATATGGATGCAATGTGATGAGCCTCCTTAAGCTCATGCCTCTCTTTACTCACTTTCCAGTGAGTAAAGAGATGAAGGACTGTTACCTTCAACCATGAGCCAAAATGAACTCTCTCTCCTTTGATTTGACTTGGTCTGGTATTTTATCCCAACCATATGTAAGGTAACTAAGACACATTGCCCAATCTTTACTCCGGACTTCCTTTGCCCCCATACAAGCAAACAATGTAGAAGTGTGTAGCTTATTCGGCTCACTGGACCATCCCTGCCAAAGTGCCTTCAGGTACAGGTCAGGCCGTCTTCCCAGACCGGAGCTATGTCTACTGCATGCTCATTCTGAGTGCCTTATACACAGCTCCCTGACCCGCAGGCACACAGTATTTACAGGCACTAGAAATGTAGAAATGACCTATCTATTGGTCACTCAGCATGATGTGACAGATGGAGGCTGCCTTAGGCTTACTTCCTGGCCAGGTAGAAGCACTGTCTTCCTTTAGCTGGCCTCCTTTTCTATGACTTTGCTCTCTTAGCCCCTGGTGCTCCCACTTGTATCTTTCTTTCACCTACAGCCACCACCAGGACCTCAGGTTGTAGGCCTGAGCTCACCTGCCCCAATCCCAGCCTTGTCAGCTTCGGTTTGCACACTGGAGTTACAAAGACTCCTTTGGAGCCACCAACCCTGACAGAGTGGACTTGGATGAGGATGAAGTGTATTTTGGACTCTGCCACTTTTCCATTAGGGGATCCCAGACGTGCCAGAGAATGCATTGATTCATAAGCTGGTATTATGTCCTGTTTCTCTAACAGGACAGCTGCCCAGCCACTGTGGGCTAGCAGCAGGCATGAGAGGGCAGATGGCTAATGAGAAGAAATGTATTTGGCAAGGATGAGGTGACTGAGGCACAGAGCCAGGCTGTTGTTGGGAAACCAAGGGGCTCTGCTGGCAATGGATGATGAAGGCTATGAGTATCCTCCCATGCTGGCTTCTTTATCAGTGTGGGCAGACATACTGCCCTACCTTTGTGCCCACCCACATGTACAGCCAGAGAGATGAAGGTCCTGATATTTTGGATGTCCGTATTCACAATGGTACTGTGGAGTTCAGAGCAGACAACAGCTTCTGGATCGGACCCACCTTCCTCACCATATTGGATGTATGACCTTGGGCAAGGTCTTTAACTTTTCTGGCCTTTACAGCCAGACTTTGTAAAGTAGGAGGATTGCTATTAGAAATCTTCTATGAGAGCATCGCCCACTGAATCAAACAAGCATGGCTCACATGGGCTCAAAGTAATCAGTAAGCACAGGGCCTTTATGGGTCTGCACCAGGTCCTCTGTGTATATGCTACGGTGGTTAGCTTGGTGTTTTTTTGCAGCACTCCTAACAGCAGGAGTGGGTGTATTTCTGACTATTTTGCCTGTTCTTGGGACCCTTTTCCTCCTATTGGGTTGCCATGTCCAGCCTCTATATGAAGTATTTTGTCTTGTCTTATTGTCTTATTGTTTCTTGTTTTGTCCTGTTTGGCTGTCATCTCTTGGAGGCCTACTCTTTTTCTGAAAAGGAAACAGAAGGAGAGTGGATCTGGAGGAGAGAGGAGGTATGAGGGAGAGCTAGGAGAAGTGGAGGGAGGGAGGGACTGTCCTCAGGATGTATTGTATGAACAAAGAATCTATCTCCAATAACAATAAAAAAGAAATCTCCTATATTGTTCTAAGAAATGGTCCAGGTATCAGATTGATGGCCGGTGGGAAAACGGTGCTTGCCCTAAAGCTGAAGAGTTTGATCGCCTGGACCCACATAGTAGTAGAAGAAAACCAGCCTGAGCCAGGATGTTCTCTGAACCTGCTGTAGAAACACTGTGACACACACACGGCATGGCATGGACTCATCCCTCCGCCCCACCCACTCCCATGCCATTAAATCAATACAAAAGAATAAACAAGCCAGGTATAAGGCAAGGCTCAGCAGCAGCATCTGGCAAGTGAGAAGTACTTGGAGGATAAGTTACTGAAATACTCCTGTGAGATCTAAGCAGCATCTGGCCCTCTCCTTCCTTAGTTTCACTTGGAAGCCCGAGGGGTCGGAGAGTTCCTCCTTCGGCATGATCTGGGCAGAGGAAGAATGGTTGAAAGGGTTAAATGCAGACACCCCGAGACAGCCTCCCCAGAAGTGAGCCGGTCTGTCTTCCTGCCTTTCAATTCCTACCTTCTTATCCCCTGACTACATTCTATTTCCTAGTTTCAAAGACCTCTTTAGATAAAACGATTTCAGGGGACTCCTCAGAGATTCGTGCTATTTATGAGGACTCATTGGAGAGCTTGCAGAAGGACAAGAAAGAGGTGGCAGGTCCTTTTACTGCAATTGCCATGGACACTCCAGGATTTTACTGTGCCAGCGTCTAGACTGTTAGGTGTGTGTATGAGTGTGAATGTGTGAGTGTGTGTGTGTGTGTGTGTGTGTGTGTGTGTGTTTGTGCGCATGTGTGTAGGAACTTAAAATCTCCCACTGCTTCCTAAGCAAACTTCCTGAGAGTTTAGCAAACTGGTGACAGCTACCAATTTGCATACAACGAAAACCTTCTAAGACAGTATTTTCCGAAGTCTGTTCCTGCAGACATTAGCTTCCCAGGAGAAGTAGACAGAAATTTCACTAAAACAAGGTTCCATGCTCAGACAATGTAGTAACAGTCACTTTTTCTTTCTGACTCTTTAAGATTCCCAGCACAGCCCCTGCACACTGAAGGCTGAATGAAGTCCTGCAGTGAAGCGGCTGGCTTAATTCTGTTTAATCTCGAATTATTCAAACATATTGACTACAGAATATATATTTCCCCCTTCAAATCTGTGTCTCGAAGTCTCGTTTTGCAGAACACAATTTGGGTACTGCTACCTTAAATGCATTCAGAGAAACATTATAAATCCCAAATCAGGTGGAGGAGATGCCGGGCCAAGACAGATATTCCATGACGTTAACAAAATGCAGGCTTGGAAGGGAGTCTGATTTCTGTTTCCATTTCCAGCCTTTAACTGTGAATGCACACATGGCCATTCAAGTTCCTGTAACATCCCTGTCTCCTCTGCCTTCCACCCAGTCTGACTGAATGGGCACCTTCATAAAATGATAGCTAGGCTAAGGGTGGTCTCTGGGAGGGGATGGGTTTTCATGGGGAATCCAAATAGAACTAGGGTATTTGAATCTCCCAGTAAGGGCAAATGCCAATGGTAAGAACAGATCAGGAAATAGAGGCCAAGATGCCTCCTCATGGGCATCTTGTGATAGCCTTTGCACAGTGTGGATGTGCAAAAGGGATGTATGTCCCCATAGAGTAAAACTAAACAACCCTCACTGTGAACTTCACTCACTGCATCTAGAGGAATGCCTGCTTCCTAGGATCTGATTGGCTAATGTTAGTGGAAGGACCATTTATTGAAAGCATCTCAATACCCCGAGGTCTTCACTGTAGCCATCTCTATCATTAAGCACACCCACGGAAGTTATAAGAATATGAGCACAGGTTGTGCTAACCCCTGACTACACCTCGCTTCTCTCTCTCAGTGTGTGTGTGTGTGTGTGCATGTTTGTGTATGTTATGGTATATGAAATCCAAATTAACTAGAGTTGAAGGTGAGATCAGAGCCATGTGTGAACACAGGGAGTGTTTCAATGGCACGAAAGAAT